AATCAACAAATCTAATTTAATTGCCGTTGAATTTGATAATAAAAAATACCGTTGCCCGAAAAAAGAAGAAGACCGAGGACCAAAACCTTAAACAGTAAATCCATAATAAAAACAGGAGAGAAGAGAACGAACAGAAGTGAAGAATTCCAAATTCCCCACTGCTCCTTTTGGACTCTCTCCTCAAACCCACTTCACTGGCTCTTTGTTTCCACTGTTTATGCCTGTGGCAAAGTCCAAATTGCTAGCAGTATTATTGATTATAAAATGGACCCTTGTTTTGGACGTGCTAATGCAAGTGATAAAGGAGCCGGTTCGAACCGATCCATTCTAAGCGATAAATTGTTGACTGAGGCAGCCCTTTTTCACAGGAGCAAGAGGCGCCGGGCCAATGGGGGCGGTGGATTCTGGGAACGCGTCAATCTCCTCTTCTAAAGTCCCACGCCTTTGACGAAACCCTAAAGATAAGATAAAAAGAAAAGGAAAAGCTCCAAATCAAAAAGAGAGAGAGAGAGAGACTTTGCTTCCACTGGTCCCACTTTTCAGTCACGTGGGTCCCGCTTTCAGATGGTCCCACTGACACTTGTCTCTCTGACCAAAGCCATGACTTCACCGCTCGAGAGGAGGTTATTATCTGGTGTGGGCAAATCTCAGATGACCCTACCCTTTCCTCTTATCACCACCAAAACATGTGACATACCATAAATAACAACAGATTTTTCTTTTCATATCTTTTCTTCATCTTTTTGATATATAGGGTATTTTGGACAATTTATATATACTAAATAAAGTCCTTAAAATAAATAAAAAGCCAGTTATTCATAAATAGCTCATAAGTTTCAACCGTGGACCCTTTTATCAACATTCATTTTTTTCTTTTAAATTTTTAGTATTCTTCCTTTATTATTTTCCTGATTATTCCACAACTTGATGGCAACATTGCATATACAAACAAAATATATCAGAGTTTCATATACATCATAATATAAGATTTATAAATATTAAATGATGATTAACAGATACAAAGAATGATGGTGCATGCATATCAATTCGTATGGAAATTTAACACAGATGGATTTTATACTTGCCAAGATCCAAATCTTAAAGGCAAACATTTAACACAAGAAACACACACTAACTGCTACTGAACACTTGTATTCGGTCTTCTTCTAAAGTCTCCAACTCCCCCCTTTTATTGCCGAGTCCACTGCAGCGTTTAGAGACTTACACACCCTCCTCTTTCTCTCCAGGGCATTCTCTCTCTTGATTTATGGCCAAAGGAAGGGGTGTGCTCTCCATTGATTCAGATCTAATAAGCACCACTAGTGCCTTCTTTCTACACAACCCCCCTGTGCTCAATTCTTTCCCTGATCAAGAGAACATCGTGAATCCCAAGTGGAAACAACTTGCTAATACGGGTAGACAAACCATGGATGCAACATCTGCTAGGTCACCTCCTACTACTATCCAATTCCCTGTCAAACTTATAAACACCAATGATGCCCGTGATGATGATGATGATGAAGATGATGATGATGATAATGATTCTTCTTTGCCATCCGATAATAGACGACGGACGGTCATCGACGAGATGGACTTTTTTGCTCGCAAGAAACATGATGATGGTTATCCCATCACCAACAATAGCACTGACGATTTGAAAGACTCTGGAAGTCCTGCTAGATTGGAGCTAAACGTCAACGTACGTGACTTGTACCGGAGTTAATGTCTTTAACGTTTTTCTTTTTGCCCCCTCTAACTGCATTTATCTTGGGTTATACAGACAGGTTTGAATCTTCTTACTACTAATACTAGCAGTGACCAGTCGATGGTAGATGATGGGATATCGTCGAACATGGAATATAAGAGAGCTAAGAGTGAGGTAGGCCAACCCCATTAAATGATGTAAAAAATGAAACTTTATACATGGAAAGTTTTGAATTTTCTTTCCTGGGTGTATTTCTGGTGTTGAATGTTACTGTGTTGTTGACAGTTGCAGCTAGCTGTTCTCCAAGCTGAGGTGGAACGAATGAAAGTGGAGAATCTACGGTTGAAAGGCATGTTAAATCAGGTTACTAGCAATTACAATGCATTGCAGATGCATTTAGTAACACTTACGCAGGACCAAAAGTCTCATCACAAGAATGAACAACATGATGGCAAAAATAAAAATAATGGGATGGTTCCAAGGCAGTTTATGGATCTTGGTCTAGTTGCTGCTGCTGCTGGTGACACCGATGACCTTTCTCTATCTACATCAGAAGGGGGAAGGAGCCGTGATCGATCGAGATCACCTGGAAATAATGTAGAGAATAATAATGAAGATGGGACACTAATGTTTGATCAAGATAAGAAGGGATTTGCTAGGGGAGCTGATCATAGAGAGGATAGCCCAGGTCAAGGCTGGGCCTCTAATAAGGTTGCTAGACTTAACTCGGCGAAAACTATTGATCAAACGGAGGCTACAATAAGGAAGGCCCGTGTGTCTGTTCGAGCTAGATCTGAGGATGCCATGGTACAGCCGATTTGATTCAATTAGTTGCAATTTGGTTGAATTTTGATTAGATTTTGTTTAATTCAACGGAAACTTCTGGTTTGTTTAGATATCGGATGGATGTCAATGGCGGAAGTATGGACAGAAGCTGGCAAAAGGAAATCCATGTCCTCGAGCTTATTATCGGTGCACCATGGCCGCTGGTTGCCCAGTTCGAAAACAGGCATGTTTCCTGTTGTTTTCCTTAATTATATTCGGTATTATGTTGTGTTTTTATTTTTCAGAGGATTTCTGTTGCATATATAGAAGCTAGAAGAGTTTGATTAGGCAATTTTGGAAAAACACTGCCACTAAATTACAAAGGTTGTTGTTTGATCGAAGACTTTGATCAGATTATTGAATCTTGATTTTCATATCACTCAGTCATTTAACTTTTCCTGGTATATGTTAATCTGAACTGGGACGCTTGAATAGGTACAAAGATGTGCAGAAGATCGAACCATCCTCATAACTACATACGAGGGCAATCACAACCATCCTTTGCCTCCAGCTGCTATGGCAATGGCATCAACGACATCATCAGCCGCAAGAATGTTGTTGTCAGGCTCCATGTCAAGTGCTGATGGACTATTGAACTCAAATTTCCTTACCAGAAGTCTTCTCCCATGCTCCTCTAATCTAGCTACTATATCAGCTTCAGCCCCATTCCCTACAGTTACATTGGACCTAACCCAAAATCCCAACCCTCTACAGCTCCCAAAGCAACCAACTCAATTTCAATTCCCATTTCCAAACGCACCTCAAGATCCTGCCAATGCTTCAGCTACTGCATTGCTGCCTCAGATTTTTGGACAAGCACTCTACAATCAATCAAAGTTCTCTGGCCTGCAAATGTCTCAAGACATGGAACCTCATCGATTGGGGCAACAATCACAACCTGCATCCCAGCAAAATCCATTGGCTGACAGTTTGGCCGCAGCAACTGCTGTCATTGCTGCTGATCCTAACTTCACAGCAGCGCTAGCAGCAGCAATTACCTCAATAATTGGTGGTGCTCACCAAAACATTATTAATAGTACTAATAACGCTCAGACAACCAGCAACAGCAACGGAAACGGCAACATAACTATTAATAGTACTAATAACGCTCAGACAACAACCAGCAACAGCAACGGCAACGGCAACATAAATATCAGCAACAGCAATAGCAATGGCCACAATAAAACTAGCAATTCAAGTTTTCCTGGCAATTAAAATAAAGTCTTCTTCTTCTTCTTTTTTCCATTTAATTTACTTCACCGGACAAACACATTCAATTTTTTTCATATTATCATGCACAGGTTTTGGTATTCTTTCTTATTTGAATAATAGTTTGTTTCAAACATTTTCCAATTGTATGTCAGTACAAAATAGGGGAAAAAAGAAGAAGATAACGCAAAAATAATATTAAATTATCTTCCTATGGCTCCCGAAACAAAAGGAGCTGGTTTTGCTTCAATTTCTGGACTCTACTAGTCAAAGTGTTGCTTGTATCTTTCTCTAGATGAAGCCAAACCCAGAAAGAGAGGAGATAACGTTAGTTAGGTATTCATTCTTTCTTGAAGTTTCCTGTCCAGATACGGGAGTCACGAAGGGGCAAAGAAAAGCATCACGTAGTGGTTGATATAGGATCTGCTTGACACGAAAAGGCAAGGAATAGAGAGGGACTTCTTCTTGCCCCACATGAACTTATTAATCGTCTCTTCGCCATTGTAGCCCCACCTGACAAGGAGTTTGAAAGTGTGGTGGCTTTTGAAAGGCATATTTTTTTAAAAAAAACATTAAATTAATGTTTTTTTAATCATCATCCTCGGTTAATATTAGGAATAAAAATATCTAAAAAAATATCTTAATATATTTTAAAATATCAATCGGAGTACCAAGAACACACGTGATAGCAAAACAAGCAGGAAGATGGATCTAGCAACTACGTTCATTCAGGTCCAATCAATCATCAAATTTCAACGATTCTTAGTTTGTATTCTGGTTAAATGTCAGCGTGCTTTGATTGTCTAGGCTAGTTGGAATATTTCTGATGTGGGTATGTTCTGGAAACGCAGTTAATATCGTGTTTTTTTTTAAATAGTTTATATATATATTTGAATAGTTGAATATAATAATATTAAAAAGAATTTTTAAAAATAAAAACATTATTTTAATATATTTTAAAAAATATATTTTAAAAATCACTACGTGTATCACCTCTTTAATTGCTTTTTTTCTTAATTGCCTTAGCTGCCATTCATGACAACTGTCCATGCATGCATGTGATGACAATAAAGAAGAATAGATGAGCCAGCAGCAGCCCATTCAGATTTTAGACATAGGTGCATGCATTAGCTATCGTCTCTTTCCGTGGTTGATCCGTGTTTTTTTTTTTTAAAAAAAAAAAAATTATTTTAATATATTATAATCATGTGGCTGCGTCTCTTTCCGTGGTTGATCCGTGTTTTGTTTTAAAAAAAAAAAACAATTATTTTAATATATTATAATTATGTGGCGGAGCCTGCTTGGGTGCAGGGTGCCTTGCAAATAACCTATGTTGTTGTCGGACCAGGGATTAGCCACCACTTGGTTTCTTGTCGATGGGACCATTGTTCCATTATACGGGTCCAGGGCCTAATATTTGGGCCAATGAAGGGCCCATTACTTCCATTTCACATTTTCAAGTTCATTCAAGAGCGTAAGGATAGTTAGATATGTTGTATATTATGATAATTATTGTTTTTAAAAATATTTTTTATTTGAAAATTTATTCAAATAATTTTATTTTTATTTTTAAATAACATCAGCCAACCATTGCAAATGCAGCTCTGTGGCCGACTGCCCAGTCCAAATGCAGAATCGGCAGTTGAATGTAGCAGGTATGGCTATTTTGTCTAGTATATTTATTATGCTCCAGCTATTGCTCTAAAAAATATTCATATTTCATCTCATTTTACTTTATTTAGCTTAAATTTAGTCAGTTAGGCCTGTTTATTTTTTTATTTTAAAAATGTTTTTGAAAAATTTTAAAAGTTTATTTTTTTATTTTAAAAATGTTTTTTTTTAATTTTAAAATTTTTAAAAAAAATTATTTACTTTAAATTAATATATCTTTAATATTTTTAAATTATTTTAATATCTTAATGTAAAAAATAATTTTTAAAAATTAAAAAAAATTATTAATATATATTTTAATATAAAAAATTAGTTAAAAATTAATTACAACAGCATTTCCAAACAAACTTTTTAAAGTGTTGATTTGTCTGTGAAAACTTATCTCGTCTCCGTCCTCCCTCTTGAAATGTCTGTCAACCTACCTTGTGGAAATATACTGCCATGCATGCACATGATCTCCGGTATCTGTAACATTTCTGGATTTACATCGCCCTTGACTTTCCCCTGCATATGTATAGCAGGGAATACCTCTGGGTTTTGGGCCTGTGACCTCAGGCACTTGTATCGTGGCAACAACAATCAGATGCCATTGCACAGCTAAATACACATTCTATGGCCAATTAAGCGGTTCTGTCAAATTACGACTATGGGATCAATCAATGACAGAGCTTGCATCACAGGTTCGGGTGATGGTAGATGCTCGTGTCAAGAGAGAAAGAGTCAAGGGGGCAGCACATGCCATGCAAATCAAGTTCTAAAACCTGAAAATTTAAACTGCTGAATTTAGATATGTTCTCGAGAGTGGATGTATGGTTGTTTTAAGAAACCAGTCTGCTCGAACTGCACAGAGCATGGTTCAAATGTCCTTTATGCATAGCGCTAATGTTTTCTTTTCTGGGTTTTTTTTTTTACTATGGTATTGTGTTTTGTTTTTCTGAAACACACTCTGAATGGTGGTGGTGCTATGGACATCAGTATCTATAATTAATGAATCATAGATATCAACAGAGCGTTGGTTGCAAGGGTTTCAAGGCTTTTTTTCCTTCAATTTTTCTCTCCTTTTTTCTTGCTTCTTCTTTTGTTGCCTGTTGGTCCCTTTGACATCAATCAGCCATCGGCCTCAAGGGAAGGGAAGCGACATCAGTTTCTATGAAAAGTTCTCAGAATTATAGAAATTCTTTATCAAAATTCCCCATTTAGCATTATTGAAGAACAGGCCTTGAACCCTTTCAATCAACCTAATCAATGCTGTTACGGTTTTTTCTGAGCTTGGTCTTTGTTAGCAGGGCGTTTACGGGTTTGTGCAGGGGCTAGCTTCTAATTTGCATTATACTCTCTGTAATTCTTCTGAGACAGTCTTTGCCTCCTCTTGTTTATCAGGGAAAAAAATAACAAATCATCCTCATTGATTTGATTACTAATAAGAGTTAGTTTATGCCCTTCGCCAATGACATTGATTGCTGGCAACCTTCTTTCTTTGGGTGAATCCTCTCATCAAACTAGCAGAATTAACAGTTTAATTTTCTGGTTATAAAATTACTAATCCTGCTATTCCTAGTCGTCTTAGTTAGGGGCTGCAGCCAGAAGAATAATGCTAAATAGATTTTACTAATCAGTTTGAAGATGAAAGCCACGGAACATTATCATATGATTTTGCTTGTGGATGCTGGATCTTCGGGGACGTTTTCATGGGCCGGTATCATACAGAGCTGATGCAGCTTAAAGTGAATTCCATCTCGTAATCTCATCTCTGCGCATTGGTATTAGCTTGACTCTGTGGAGCGCTTTGTACGTTGGTAATAAAATGAATAATTTAAGGGTAATTTAGTTATTTTATTATATTTTTTAAAATAAACAACCCCTTAGATAACAATTTAAAATTTTCGTTTTGCTGTAATTTAGTCATTTTATTAAGCAAAAAGATCCTATTATCCATAACAGCCGAACCAAATATTTTTGGTAAAAAAACTAAAATAATAATTTTATTATTGTAATTTATAATGCATAGGATTCAAGAGCTATGATATTTTGGTATTATTCAAGACACCTTTTTGTTTTAATTTTTTCTTTATAAATAGAAATTAATTAATACCTTTTTGTTTTAGTTTTTTCTTTATAAATAGAAATTAATTCATGAGGAAAACTCTGTAGTTACCAAAACTTTTCATACTCTTATGAATCACGGTGAATTGTAATAATTAAATTTTTTAATTTGATTATTAAGTTTTATTTTGGCATAATTTAGCTATTTTAAACTCGTATTAGAGCCTAATTACATGTTGTTTAAAAAAAAAATGAATTAGAAGTTAAATGATCAAAATAAAAATAATGTGATGGTTTTGAATTTCATATAAAAAATTATTTTTATCCCTTATTTTTTTAGTTTTATAGGTGATGGTCTCTTTAGCTGTCCAAAATTTAATTTTGATATAAATTAATTTTTTATTTTTCAATCATATTTTGTTATAGAAAAAAAAATGTTGGATTCTGGTTTAGAAAAAGAAAATGATTGTTAAATATGATTCTAGTCACCAAAAAAGTTGAAATGAGTGTCAATTAATTCCATTTTATGAGGGTAGTTTTATCTAAGTGTTTTTTTTTTTATTCTTGCCTGAAAAGCAAATTTAATCACAGGAATATTTTTGAATTCAAGTTGATTTTAAATTTTTAAGCTATTATTTAATTTATCAAGATATTTTAAATGTTTCAAGTCAAAGATGAATTTTGAAGCTAAAACCAAACCGAAGCCTTGTTTTTCCAGCATCCTCCAGTTGCTAGATTCTTCAAAAGTAGGCAATATGTTGTTTATTGTTACCGAAGACACGTTGTTCGCTTTTAAAAAAATAAAGCGGACAACATTTAAAAAATTAAAAAATAAAGGCATTCCCACGTGTTTGTGTTCCTTTTTTGTTTTGTTTTCTATTTTTTTATATATATTTAAATCGAAAAAATTAATAAAAAAATTATTAAATCTAATTGAGCCCTAGATCATAACTTTAATGGATTAATTTATAATATTTTATTTTTTTTATTTATTTCTTTTACTTCTCCTTAATTGTTTTTTTTAATTTATCATTTGTTATTAATTATATATTTTTATTATCTCAGCACCATGTTTCTATTATAATTTTTTCATTTTTAAAATAAATATTTGATGCAACATAGTTATCATGCCATTTATTGGCATATAATTATATAAAACTTAATTTCTAAAATAAAAAAAATATATTGAATTTGTTCACATACATAACTTGTGTCATAAATTTATTTTATCAACTTGAGTTTACTTATATTTAAAGTAAATATTATTTTATTTTATTGATTTTATTCTTCAATATTAAATTAATTTAGGATTGAGATTTTTAATTTTTTTTAAGATTATCCCCTTAAATTTTACAGGTCAACCCATGTTATCTAGGTAGATTATATTTATTTCCTTCTCGATATTAAATAAAAAATCATTTAATTCATGATTAAAATTTATTTTTTTTAGAATCATTAATACTTGAATATAATTTTATAAGCTATAAATATTTTCTGTTCTGACATGCGGTATAGCGCAGGTTAATAGACTAGTTACCTATAAAATTCCTCATTATATACATTTAAATATTTATTAGATAAATACTTGACTCCATGCCTCCTACTACATTTTCAAACATAAACCAAATTTTAATAATTTTGTTATAGAAAAAAATATTTTTTTAATAATTTGTGCATACATGTATATAATTACAAACAAAGTGATATAATTTATGGATAACATTTGATGAAAATATTAAAAAAATGCTATATTTTAATTAGTTTTATTGATTTTTAGAAATTATTTTGAGTTAATTATATACAGCTTAAAAAACAGTAATAAAATATATTCTTCCAAACTTATAGTTCTATGATTCCATCAAGAGATTAACTCAGATGGTTAAAATATATGCTCGCTCTTTATATAAGGTCAATATTTAGTAAAATCTTCTAGAAACATTTATAGTCGGGATTAATATATAAATTAGTTCAAATATATTTTTATTAATTAATAAAAACAAAAACATATTCTTCTCTGTACTAAATCAATCGGGGGTGCACGGGTCCTATAAACTAGAGTATATCCTACAAAAATCTTAATAATTGACGTCCTTATAATTGCGTTCGAATATTGCATCCCCGCGCGTATTTTTTGGATTGGCGTGGAGAACAACCGTGTTCCAGTGTACGGCGGAGAGAAGGGCGGCCCCTTTAGTAGTTTCAAGCGATATCCCCGCCGACCGAACGCTAGAGCGACCAAAGAGTTCAGTTTTTTTTTTTTTTTTTAAATGTCGGTATTCAAATTAACTTACGTATATATTAGTGTTTTCAAGTTATTTTAATATTTTATTATTAAAAATTATTTTTAAAAAATAAAAAATATAATATTAAGATATATTTTAACAAAACATTATTTTAAAAATAATTACAACCACCTAGTTAAGATATATTTTAACAAAACATTATTTAAAAAATAATTACAAATGACAAATTTAAATCACACTTAATTTGGACCACTCTACATGGTGGTTATAACAATTCGGTGTCCTTTTATTTTAATTTATTGGGCTAGCCTGAGCCGTGTCGACTTGGAGCATTTCTTACCATTGGTCGGGTAGGTAGAGTTGTCTTCAATTTATTTATTTATCCTGCATTTGTACACAATAAATTAAGATCTTTCCTTGTTCACTTAAAAACATAATTTCCGTGGGACACATTTCTCACATGCATTTCAATGCACATAATTCTTAGATTTGTTAAATTTAAACCATAAAGTTCAAATTAAGCATACCCGATTTAATACAATATATTATCTTTCACCTGATTATTACATTTAGAGCATGATTTGATCATGCTCGTAAGAAAACATAAAATATACAAATCAGAGATTTTTTATTTGAATCAGATTAATGTTTTCTTGTTAATGCAATATATTTTTGTTTCACTAATTAATCTTATCCGGCTATTAGGCATCTTGAATTATTATTAATTAATCTTATCCGGCTATTAGGCATCTTGAATTATTATTTGGGTATAAACACAATAAAAGTTAACAGTGCACTCATTCAAACTCTAAAGGTGCATTTAGTTAATTAGAGCACATGAGAGTTATTATAATATAGTTGTTATTCATGAAATAAATTTAAAGGTCTTATTGAAGTTGAAAAGAGATTTATATATTTTAGGTTTAAAATTTATAATAGCAAGTTAAATGGATAAAATAATAATAAAAATTCAAAATAGATATATTTTTAAATAAAAAGATAGTTTCAAGGATTTAGTGAGATAATTAATATTGTCAATATAAGGATTGAACAAGAAAATTTAGATTTTTTACAATAAAATCACTAACTATCTAGTTTTATACTATCATGTATAATTCTCAATATAATTATTGTACCGAGCTGAAAACTGGAAATTCCAGCTCCTTCTCCTTGTAACAATTGGTTTTGCTAGAAAAAAAACAAAGAGGAGACTTTCTTTTTTCCTTGCAATATTTACATTAGAGATTCTAGAGAATTCAAAGTTTAGGGCTATAATAAAATAGATATGAGTGCTTGAACCTATAAACCATAAGAATCAAGAGAAAGTCGAGTGAGAGAAAATAGGAATCCCAAAGAGAAAGAGAGAGAGAGAGAGAGGCATGTCAAGTTGGAAGGAGAAGGAAAGGAGTGGAAAATTTTCAATTTTATAGCATTCAAAGCTCATTTTATTGTCAGGTACAAATTTCTGAGTTTAAATATAAAAACTTAGATGAAGATGAATATAATTGATGTTAAAATTGATGAATTTTAAGTTACGGTTCTTTAAGAGATTTGAGAAAAATGCAAACCAAATGTTATTTGAATTAATTGGATGAGGGTAAATGTTAATGAATGCAAAATTATGACAGGAATTGAAATAAAACTTTGTATCAGAAAGATACTAAGAACCGATCATAATGGTGGAAATTAGGCTAATTTGTGGATTTTTATATGTGCATGTTTAATCATGTTAAATTAATGCTTGATGATGTACTAATGATGATTTGGAAGAAAAATCATATCACTTTTGTTGTGTGTGTTTCGACCAATATTAAAAAAAAAAAAGAAATTAAATTGTTCTTCTATATTGACATGAGAATTGTGTTAGGTTGTATTGTAGAAAACATCTTGAGATTGATATAAATTGTACTTACATAAAAAAAAATCTAAAAACAAAACTATGGTTGATTAATGAAAATCTCGATCAAATAAGGAATTTTTGAGGAACTAATTAAAGGAGTGTGAAAACTTGTTAAAAAGATGATTTTTGTATAATTTTGCAATGTTATGGAATGAAATTTAACAAAAAATCAAAAGAAAACATAGTGCTATTAATATAATTAGTGTCGGTCATTAAAGAAAAAGAAGTTGAAAATCTAGAGATTTCATGAATTGCTTGCTTAATTATAAGTATGTAGTATATGTGGTAGTATTAATGATGATTTAGAATTAAAAGAAACTCATGCATTTGATTATGGTGGGGATTTAACTTGTCATAGACTTTGACACCTTAGGATTAGACTGAAAGTTAAAAGAGAAAATATATTCTTTTAGATAAATGTGTGTGATATATATTGATAAATAAATTCGATAAAGATTTAGAAAGATAAACATAAGAAGAAAAAAACTTTGGGCTAGCAACATAAATCTTTAGAAAAGTTAGATAATTGATGATAAATATGTAGTTTTTCTTATTCATGAATTTCAAAGTAAAAGGGTAACTTTTGAATGAGAAATATGGAATAAATGCTATAATAAGAATTAAATAAGTATTTTGAGTTAAGAATAAATAAATGAGTTTGAATTAGTGTTAGATGTTTTCTTTTGATAAGTCCAAATTATGTTTGTGTCTTGATAAGATAATAATAAGTTGAAAATTCTCTTGATGCAAGAGAGATCATTGGAATCGGACACAAGTAGGAGATTATGACATACTCAGTTAGCAAGCAAATATCCAACACTTTGACTCTTAAAAATTTTATATATCATTTGAGTAGTAGTTATTTCTTATAAGATTTGTTTTTTGAATATTGAAATAATCATGTTATAAAAAAATAAATTAATGAATTTTGAAAAATACAGAGAATTTTGAAAAATACAGAGTGTGCATTGGTTGTGATATGAAATATTATAATACAATACTTACATAGGTGTTTAACATGAAAAGTCAGAACACAATGATAAATATTATAACTTAAAGGGTATAAATAAGGTATGTTAATAGAAGAGAAAAAAGTATCGATTTATAAAATAAAAAATGTGTGCATATTTAACAAAATGAAATTGTGTATTTGTAATTTGGACATTGAATTTTATAAGTGAAACTTTATGCTTGGTGGTAAAATATTAGGCATTTCAAATGATTAGTATTACACTTGGTTGTAGAAGTGAGTATAAAGAGAAATATAGTTGCATGTGGTATTTAAAATGAATAATTAAAATACAATATCATGATTTATGTCTAGATTCAAAATAGATGAATTATATAAGTTTAAATTACAAGAAGGTATTAAGTAAAGAATAAGATGAGAATGTTAGGTTTTGGGGTAGGGTAACCTAGTGAAATGTGTAAGGTATTAACATGAATAAGATTTTAATCAAAGTAAAATAATGTGTTGGATATGTTACCATGAAGTGTGAAGAACCTGGTATGAGAGGTTTTAAAGAAAAGTTCAATTAGTCGGGCACTATATAGAGACTGATGGCATCAATGGTTATTAATAATTGATATTGTTTGATAAGCTTGCCACTACATAAAGACTAATGATATTATTTATTATTGATAACTAGCATTATTTGATAAGCTTGCCACTGTATGGAGACTAATGACATCATTTGTTATTGATAACCAACATTGTTTGATAAGCTTGTCAGTGTATGAAGACTAATGACATTAATAGTTATTGATGACCAACATATTTAAGTAGCCTGTCATTATGTAAAACTAATGGTAACAATGGTTACTGTTGATCATCATTGTTTGATTAATTTACTATCGTATAAAGACTAATTGTATTAATGGTTATTGATTACCAATATATTTGATTAGTTTGTGATGGTATGAAAATTGATGATATTAATGATAAATAATAACTGACATTATTTGATTTAATTAATCATATGAGTCAAGGTTAGAGATATCAAAGAGCTCGATGTATGGATGAATGATAAACAGTAAAAGAATAATTATACTAATGATCGATCAACTCGATCAATTCAAAGATAATGTGATGAACCAACAAAGTCTTTCATCATTGAGCTTTTTCATGTAAGCTGCTCTAATAGGGACCTCATTTGTTTTTCATACGACAGGTTAATATTGAAGATTGTGAGCTCATGGAAACACAAGTATATCTAAAATTTATCAGTTGTTTTTATATTTTAATGACTTGTCCAAAGACTCTATTATTTTTAAATGATTCAAATATAAGATTTTATATTAAGATTTTTTTGGTGATATTATATGTTTTCATTTCTTTAATTCACCAAAATCAATTAGAAATCTTAAATCTTGGTTAGGATATAAATGCAATAAAAATTAACTGTGCACCGATCCATGCATTAAAAAGTATGTCTGGTCACTCAGCTCCCGAGGGAGCTATAGTAATATAGCTGTGATTCATTAAACAATGAATGCTATTGAATTGGAACCATCCTCGAAGAGCGCCTATATATATATATATATATACATAGCTTAGATTTGATGGTTAAAATTAGATTTTATTTATAAGATTTGAACATTAAAAGTGAGGGAGAGCGCCTCATCCTCAACCCTATATTATAAATAACTAGCTCCTGTTTCTAAATAAAAAACATGTTTTCTCACTTTAACACACGTGCTAAGCAAACATCTTGCAGATACGTACATGGCTTCTTTAATACCCATATTGAACAGAATAGACAAGTTTTGAGGTATTAAAATGGTTGTCAAGCAGATACACTTTTTTTTAATTAAATTTCAAAACTAATATTTAATAAATTTATAAGTATACTAGCTAGACTCATATAGAGGGTGTTTTTCTAGGATCCTTTACTAAAAAAATATTAAATCAACACAAAAGTATCCCCTCTCTCTCTCTATATATATATCATGAAAAAAAAGAATAATAATAAATAAATAAAAAGCATATTCGTGAGTTGCTTGTGAGAAGAGCCTCTTCGTGCGTGATCATGATATATATCTTAGAAGCCACGCATAAAATCAAGGATTCCATGCCATATCTATCTACTGATTAGGAGCTAGCTACCGTTAAGTTGGTCCAACTAACAGAGTTAGTATTGACAAGAATCGGCTGGTGGCCATGGACAGTTAGGGGTGCGAGAGCGTGAGATGACGAACGATTATGGTAGAAAATGCTGAGTTTGTTGGCAATGGCTGTCGCTTTCGGAATATTAGTTGCCATGTCCATTGCATTTTTGGTCAGCTCCCCCAGCTTGGTTAGTTAACCTTCTTCTTCCTCTTCCTCTTCCTTTTAATGTGAAATATGATTACCAAAACTTGCTAATATATATATATATATGCTTATGTCATGATCATATCATACGATGAGTAGCTTAATTTTTATTTTTCTTTCTATATACTAAATATAAGAAGAAGAATAATTAACCCGTTGCAAAGCCACGTTTAGGTCCTGTGGATGATTAATTAGCACTTGTCAACGAAGTTAGACTAGCACGTTTTAACGTTATTGATTATTTTCTTAAAATTAAACTTTTTTTACCGATTTGATTTTTTATCTAATTTTAAATTAAATCATAAAAAAACTAGTTTAAAATAAATTATTTAATTTAATAATTCAAATAAAAATAAACTAGATGATCATTAAAAATATAATATAGCTTAGAGCGTAATTAGAATATGATTGGAGTTATTTTTGAAAGTATATTTTAGTAAAAAAACATATTTAATATGATTGGAGTTATTTTTGAAAGTATTTTTTACTCAGAAAACATATTAATAATATTTTTTATTTTTAAATAATTATTTTTAAGATTAATATATCAAAATAACTTGAAAATATCAAAAATATATTAATTCAAAATAAAAAAATTAATTTTTTAAAAACACTTTTAAAATACAATATCAAACAACCCTCTACTTTTCACGTAAAAATAAATTTTGAGTTGCATTAACAAAAATAGATATTTTGCTTTTAAAAAGATGATGGGCATGAAGAAATATAAAACACTTGTTTCGAAGAAGGGTGTTAGTAATTAGACGAAGGGGGATTTATATTCTGGGTTTTATGATTAATTTCGGGCAGCTTTCCTGGAGCCTCGTCAGCAAGATGGAAGGTTTGACATCACGTCAAAAAATTAGATGGAAGGTTTGACATCACGTCAAAAAAAAAAAAAAAAAGAAGGGCAAGTGTGAAGCCAAATATTATTATTTGACTAGTGATTTAAGTGCAAAGATAAACAAATGTCTAGCTAGTTTCTAGCTAGAAATAAGCGTTTGACTTCTTACAAAACACAACTTAACTATCCATAGAATTGTACTTTTTCACACACCCATTTGATAGAGTTCAACTTGGACACACCGATTAGTTGGATATACACTCAAAACACATCGAAAGGATTCTAAAATTCAACCATTTTGTGGGTGGTTCAACCCACCCCCTCCGCCCTTACCATTTGCCAAGTCATCGCCGTCTAGGCTGCCAAAGCTGTCAACCCCGCAACTATTTTGACACGTTGTGCTCTCTTCTCGTTAAAGGGATTGTCCCAACCAACCTATGAAGCTACCCTTCAAATATCCACCCACCTCCTGTATATACATATATAAAGGGCACGCTGCTAGTTTGTTATCCCCTCAAAGAAGAAGGGCGGAAAATCATAGGCAAACTGTCATTTCTTTCTCAGCTTTGCGAGATGGACTGGACTAGAGGGCACACCATAGGCCGCGGCTCCACGGCTACAGTTTCCGTCGCCACCTCTATTCAATCCGGTGATGTTTTCGCCGTGAAGTCCGTCGAGCTATCTCAGTCTGGATTCTTGCAAAGGGAGCAAAAGATCCTCTCTTCTTTAATCTCACCTTTCATAGTTAGCTACAAGGGGTGCGACGTTACTAGAAAGAACAACAAAGTCATGTACAATCTCTTCTTGGAGTACATGCCCAGAGGCTCACTTAGCAATGCGATTCGTGCTCATGATGGAGGTCGGCTCGACGAATCATTGATCAGGATTTTCACGTATCAAATCTTGCAAGGTCTAGATTACTTACATTTGAACGGATTGGTGCATTGTGACATTAAGAGCAGCAACATTTTAGTAGCTCAAAGTGGTGCCAAGATTGCGGATTTCGGGTGTGCAAAGCGTGTGGAACAACAGGGACCGATCGCTGGCACGCCAATGTTTATGGCACCGGAGGTGGCGCGTGGGGAGGAGCAGGGGTTCGCAAGCGATATATGGGCTTTAGGATGCACAATTATTGAAATGGCTAGTGGCGGAACACCTTGGCATAACGTCAGCGACCCAGTCTCCATCATTTACAGGGCAGGGTATTTGAGGAAGGTGATACAGTTATGGATGACATTGAATACAAAGATGAAATAGCTGGTTGGTAGCGAGGAGTTGTTAAATTTGTTAGATAGCAATAGAATTACTGATGATTTTTAGGTTCTTGTACATATAGGGAATTTAGTATTGTAAAACCTTCCATGTCAAGATTAATTTTCTTTCTTCTCGAACTCCTGGACAGTCGAGTTTCATTTCCATTTTGTTTTTTGGGTACAGTAAGGAAAATAAAGAAAAATAGACCGGAAAGACGGCGTTCGAACCTCCATTTCTTATGAAAAAATGGGAGCACGAGTGGTTAATAAACTACAACGCTCACTGGCGACGGTCAAGTTTTGTTGGACATGAAGAAGTCGGTGTGGAATTTGGGAGGTCAAACCCGATTCTGGGACTTTTTTCAATTTCCACGACCTAATCCTGTCTTCTGTTTCTGGGTTGATGAGTTCACTTGGCATAAATGGCAAAAAGTAGCTGCCATATGGTGGATTTTGAAGGTGTTTCGTACAGTAATAATAGTTGTTTTTTAAGATATTTTTTTGTTGAGAAATATATTATAATAATAGTTTTTTTATTTTATAAAATTTGTTTTTGATATTAAAATGATAAAAAAGTATTAAAAAAATTTTAAAATAAAAATAAATTTTAATTTTAATAAAAAGCATGTTGGAACTCAATGTTAAATACCCCTGTGATGCTAGAGGGTTTTTTTTATAATAATAAATATTTTAATTAGTTTTTTTATTAGGTGCTGGGTTTTTCTAGTTTTCTACTGAAGGGAATAGCTTCTTCTTTTTTTATTTTCATTTTTATATTCATTATTAATTAAAAAAAATCAGTTTTAGCTTTTTATATATAATGATTTTAATGAATAAGAATTGAATATTTTGGATATTTAATTATTGATGAATTTAATTTTTTTTTCTATTTTTATTTTTCTATCCAGTAACATGTTCTAGTTTTTCCATTTAAAATGAATAATTTTTCTATTAAGTTGTAATTGAGTTTTTTTAGTTTTTCCATAAAAAAATTACAATAATTTTTGATAAGTAAATAAAAATTATATATTTTAGATACATTTCCATTCCTATATAATCCTGCAATTATAGTGGTCTTGATCTTGAATGATTTGAATTTATAACAAGCCGGTCGTCTTTCTCCGCCGGCAACGGCACGCTTCCATTGATAAAAGTCACCGAAGCCGCTCGTCCGTCTCTCGTTTTGGTGGATTATTATTTTGACTGACCCAGCGAAACAAGGTGCCAATTTGGCCACCTCCACTATAATTAAGGGCCAGCACAGCACCGTCCCCTGCTTCAATGGGTTTTTAGGTAAAAGATATTTAATACCTCTAACACTGTTGGCTGTCCACCTGGCCTCTGCTCACTGATCCGCCATGCCATCGGTCTCTGTTCTTTGTGAGTAAGCTTGGATTATAATAATGTCAGCCGAGGTGTCTTAAAAAAGTCACCATTTATGTTAGATGGATTTAGCTCACGTTGATTCAATTGCATCACATAGATTTCATTAGTCACTGATGCACAATTGTTCTATCAATCAATCTAACATTTTCAATCCGCATGATAGAATCTTGTTGGTGTATTTTTCCCTAAATTTCTTTATTGAATTCAATATGCTTCTAGAAATTCCTTGAATGGCTGAGGTTAGGTATAATTTAATTATACATGAAATTCAATTATAAAACTAGGTTTTTAATTTCTTTTTTATGTTTTTAGTGTCCGGGTTCACAAAAATCAACCTCAATTTTCAAAATTTACACACTCTAAGTTTTGGTATATATTTAACTTAGAGGTATAACGATTTTTTTTAATATACAATTTTTTTAAAATACAAATCACACCTCAAAAAACTAAAAATATATATTTTTTATATATGCTCCATCAAATAAAATTAAAATCACCTCCAAACTAAACACTTTTTTATTATTGTCGTCAATCATTTTAATTATTTTTTAAAATATTTTTATTTAAAAATTAAATTAAATAATATTTTTTAAATTTTTTAAATTTATTTTTAAAATTAACACATCAAAATAATAATAATATAAAAATATATAAAACAAAATTAAAACAAAAAAATTATTTTTTTAAATACTTTTAAAATGTATAAACACCCGGAAGATGCGTCACGCTTCTTTTGTCATGAAGATATTTCCATATTTACAACTTCTTGCACGTGATAACAACATCATTAATTGAACAAAAATAAATATGCCTTACCTAGCTTAGGTTGCCCAAGCCTAGCATCAACATGATGAGTTCATATTTTTTTCTTTATTTAACTTTAATACAAACCTTAAGTTTTGAACTCAATAAGTTTGCTAATAGCATTAGAAAATATTTCAAGAAAATTGGTTTGAATAAATGGAATCTTAAGCTGGAATGAAAAGAAAGGATTCTTATCTTTTCTTTTTCTTTTTTTTTAAGAGATGTTTTTGAATAACCTTGATTTCTTTCCTTTTTTTTTTTTTCTTTTTTCTTAAGAGATGTTTTTGAATAATCTTGATTTTTTTTTTTAACAAAATCAACTCTTTTGTTTAATTCTTTTTATATAGATACAATTTGATTAAACGAAGAGGTGAGTGGTTTTATCGGCTTGGTTGGTCAAATAAACAATCTAAGAAAAAAATAAATACAACAAGTAAACCCTAGTAAATTATCTAAACTCTATTATGAATTTAACTAAGTTTAATTAAATTTTCTTAGTTATATGATAAAAATATAAAAATAAATTTACAATAAACTTAATATTAAATGTTTTAAAAAATTAATAAAAAAGCTACCCTTAATCTCTTATGGTTTGGTTTAAATTGTAATTACTCTCTATAATTTGAAAAATTACACTTTACACACTTAACATCCTTTAAAATAAAATCTAATTATTTACATGATTGTTATTATAGATATTTAATAACCAAGAAGCCTCTCAAGCTAAAAAAAAACAATAACAAGAATGCCACCAAGTGATCAATGGAAATTTTTGAAAATAAATACTCATTGATAACTCTTATTAATTACAAAAATATCCATTTACAAATATTTAAACATCTTATGATATAGTTTTCACTGACCATTTCCACCCCCAGAAAAGAAGAAGAAAATAAAAAAAAACTTTTCATATACTTCCCAAACCCCTCACCATTTCCAGCCATAAGCAACCATTTGTTCATCACCGTATCTCACCCAAGAAAACACCATATTCTTTACAAATCACTCACCATTTGTAGCTACAAGTAATTGTTTTTTTCATCACCATAACTCAACAATGTAGGGATTCATCTAATTGAATAAAAAATCTCATCACTCTGGGATAATCAAATAAAAAAGAACTAGCATGGTTTTTCAACCATAAAAAAATAGTTTTTTGAATTTAAAAATTTATTTTTATTTAAAAGTATCTAATAAATATCATTATAATTGTAATAAACAAACCCATCAACTTATAATACTTCTAAATTTATATTAAAAAAAAAACATAAAATCAAATGGAAAACAACTTACCTTTTGCTCCGATGAACTTTTTCCGAAGTAAAAAGATTATAATAGAACATTTATGGTCAAACGAAACTTTTTAATATTAAGAATGACTTTTTTATTGTCAAAATAAAGCCACCCGATGGCTTTCTCTCTCATTTATTATCTTTTAGCGAGTTTTTCTCCTTCCACAAGCATTAAAAAAAATGAAGTTCTGTACCTACTACAGGGATCAAAAACAAAATCTGCCAAAAAATGCCAAAAGGTGGCTTTAAAAACTCATTCTTTGCCTCATTCTCAAGTTTGGTCCTCAAATTTTATTTTTTTCTAATCACCACGATCAAAATATTTTTTTATAAAATTAAATTTTAATTCAATATAGAAAAATTTCAACATCCAAAATAAATTATTAAATTTAATATCAAAACCATGTAGTATATACCAATGTTGTCAAAAAAACAAATTAACTTTTAAAATTTTATGATTTTACAAGGCAAGATGTATTTAAAGTGTTAAATAAAATTAAAACTCGAAAACTAATAAACTTGATCAAACTTATTCATACTCAGTAAAATCAAACTAATTTTACGAGTTCAAAAAAAATATAAAACTATGCACTCTGGTAATTTATATTTTGACATTTTCATTGTTTTAAATTTATATCCCGTAAAACTTGTGCAATCTAAGAATTTAGAGCTTGATTTTGATTATAATTATTATAATTTTTGTAACTATATAAGTTATTTATGGATTTTATTTTTGTAAACAATTATATAGAATAAAAATTATAAATTGACATGTTTGACCCTTGAAGTAATTAATATTAAATGGTCTACCAAAATTTAAAGGGATTCGTTTCTTATAAATAACAAGATAAGTGAGTTGATTTGTCCAATAAATACGGAATCAATATGAATAAAATAAAAATGTTTTAATTTTTTATTATTTATTTTAATAGTATTGTATTGTTAATTACTAATTACCTGAAATTATTAATATATAATTAATTAAAATATTTTATTTATAATTTTATGATTTTAAAATTTGAGTTTATATTATATATTACATTTCATGTTAAAAAAAACATTTTGACAACCTTGGTATAAACACTGTTACAATCCACGTTAAAAACCCCTCACCTTTTTAGAATTCTTTTTAATTTTAATTTTAATATCCGTATTGTATTAAAGCTAAATTCTGATTCGGATCTGTCCAAGTTTCTTGGATGAAATTAAAGAAAATCATAATAAATTTTTAGTAGAGCACGATATGTGTAAAAATAAGAGCAAATTTTCGTTGTCCACCCATTTCTGCTTTGAAATATTTCTTGAGCACCACAATTCCAAGTCCAATTCCGATTCCTGCTTCCAAATGATAAATAGGTTTTTTTATAACGACAACAAACACACAGTTACTCTTTCTAGAGTAGCCACTTCTTCATCTTCAAAATTAAGAACAATGCCCCTTGAAGCCCTTACATCGACCGCTCCTTCTTTTCCCAGTTTTCGCCGCCAAAACCCCACCACTCTTTCCTGCCATGTTTCTTTT